CTCTTAAAAAAGTTATTTGGCAAATAAATCTTGTTACACTTTGTTCCAGACAAAAAATACGCATTACATACATTTTAAAAATACCTTTTTAGAAGCCTTTTTTGTCATTGACCCAAATCATTCTGCCATCTGGCCGTAATGCGCCTTCTAAAATGAACTACGCACATGGTCAGTTTGTCATTGCCCTGTTATGAACTGGCCGTTGTGCCCTTAAAATAAGCAGAAAATACACAAACTCACATTTCCTAGTGTCTGTGATCACACTGAACATCACCAGTAGTGTGAGACTACTTCAGTGAGTTACTTCAATTAAAATAGCCTAAAACCAGACACCTCCCAAATAAGACTTGGAGCTGGAAACCACGGGTCAAATATGACCAATCTGAATCTTTTGAGTTTTTTCTGCAACGGCAAAAAATAATCACAAAAGAAAATGCTAAAAAAAGCTAACTAGATAACGTACCACACATTCAGGTTACGCAGAAGCCTACCTTTCCTAAAGGGGAAGGATCGAATGGTGATACCCAGTGCAGTTAGGCTGTGGGTGGAGGAAGTATTCAAGTCCATTAAGTAAAGGTACAGTGAAAATACTGCATTCTTAACCTTACTAAGTAGTATTATAGCAATATTGTGTGAAATCATTGCGTACTAAAATTATTATTATATTATATTATATATGCTGTTTTTTATTAATAGTACATACACTTTATATACTATATATACTGTTGGGTAGTTTTGGCCTTGGTGCAGTATATTTAGGCCACGATGCCCCAGTAAACTTGAATTTATCAAAGGCCAAAGGGTTAGGTTAGGTTGGGGGCGAGGTTGCAGTGGCAGACAGCCAGGCTCTTCTCAGGAAACCGAGGCAAGCAGGGAGTGGTTCCTCTTCCCTTATCACCATATCCTGTCCTCCGCTCTGACGACTGCACCATTTACACCCCTCACAGCTCACACTGAACGGGGATCAGATTAGCGGTTCACACAGTCATCAATCAGCCTGAACAAACCCCACGGTGCTCACACCCCTCCTGCTGAATACACACTCTTCAGATGGATGGTTGTGCTTTCAAAGTCCATTTCCTCAGCTGTAAGAGAGCGAGGGATCAAAGACTGGACAACTGAATGAATAGAATACACAAGCATTGATACACGTGTTAGTAAAGCTAGAATTGTGGCCATATTGTGTCTGACTGTCAAGAACAGGGGAAGTTATTGTAAAAAGTTTCAGTCCAGTTAGTTAGTTTACTTTCTACAAAAGCTCTAATGTTGGAGATCACACAGTGGACTAGCAGGCCCTGGGGCAGAGGTGGTCCTGACTGTATGGGTCTGGGACCAGCACTAAAAGGTTTGGATTAAAGCTTCTGTCAGCGTTTTATAGATACTGTCAGTTTAGATGTATTCTATCGTCTGTATTGCTTCATTTCTGTGCTGTTTATGTTCTTTCTACAGACATCTGTATGTCATATAGTTTACTTTCTTAATGGGAATTAACGCAATATCATCAACTTTGGCACTGCTTATCTGACATCCTCAGTAACATGAGAAGATGGTGAGATTGGTGGACCATTGCAGTTTCTCGAACTTATCACCAAGCTAACCAACTAATATAATGCTTTCCCTCCCTCCCTTTTCTTTATCGCTCTTGTCTTTTCTCTTTTGGTCACAATGAAGGGAAAGATATGATCTGTGTGCTTAGAGCAGGGGTCTCATATTCTAATTACCTGGGGGGGCACTGACCAGGGTGTTCTCTCCTAGGGGAGGCTAATTAAACACTGAGCAAAAAATAAATGATTATACTCAAGTAACTTACTTAATAAACGTCACACTGAGAAAAAATATAAATATAATTTTGGGGCTACATCTAACAAGAAATTTTAAACATGTGGATATAGCATGTCTATAAAGAAAGGAAACAAGCTCAACATTTATTAGAGCACATAGCAAAGGGGCGGGGCTTATGATGGGTCATTTGATTGCATCATTTTCTGTGTTTTATACTGCCATTTATATACTTCATACAAACATGAAGCCAATTTTTAAGGGAAATGGGGATCTTAAGTAGTGGGAAGGTACATCGAGTACATGAATGATATTTCTTTAAAACTTGAGTTTGTGTATATAATGGGAGGAGGCAGATGAAAACCAAGTTGATGTAATGTGTCTACGATTAAAGAAACACATGGAAGCAATTGACAGTAATCTGAAAAGCTCTGTTAGTAGTGTGAGATTTCCAACTGCCAAGCTTTAATATTGGATTATCAGGTGAGTGTAAATATAGATCTATGAGACCCAAGGATGACCGTCACTGTGGTCTAAGTAGAAAAAGTGGCAGTGGCATCACCTTTCAGTGTCCAAGATCAATGGCCACATTCAGATATATACCTGTCTAACCTGGAGATGCTGAGACGAACAGTGTCTCGCGTCTCAGCTGGTCCCCCCTGCTCACACTAATCCACTGTTAATGAGAGTCCAGGATCAAAGTGAGGAGCCTCGGCCAGGACTCGGTGCAGTTCCAGGAAGTCAGCCGCTGATATGGATGTTTGGGAACAAGTGACCCCTGAAGCCCCCTCTGTTACTGTGCTAAAGCGTATTGGTCATCCTCCAGCCAAGGGCCATGGGAAGAGGGAGAGGCTTAACCTGGCATGCTACCCAGCCCTGGGAGAGCTTTGTGTAATGGAAAATATACAGGGCCACTGGGCACGCAGCCATATAGCTGTGGAGGAAGGATGCTGCAGATGCAGGAAGGGTAGCGGACCAACTGTGTTCACAGTCAGTCCTTAATGAGGACTTCTATGTTTCCATTCATCGTTTTCCTTTTCCTGTATATCCAGAAAACATGATGATGAAAAATATATTAATACATTAATTTATATAAAAGTTTCTTTCTCAATGTGCTTTTAAATTTATGCACGGCTCCAACAGTCCAAGCTTATTAAAAATTGGCATACATAACTTCCCATTTGAAATTCTTTTTGAGGTTGTTGGACTCAGCTGAGCATGCTGGGAAGCCAGGCTGCCCACATATTTCATTATCTGTGAAACAATTACAATATGTGCCAGTTTCACCTCTATTATCCCCGGCTGGTTGACCAGGAGGCAGTGTGTGTTATGGAAGTGTGTGCCACATGATTCCGCCTCCAGACCCACCAGAAACCCACGTCCCCCGTCCCTTCTCACCCTAATCCCCCTGCCTTCATGTGCCTGGTATTGTTCTAAGAGCAGAAGACCCAGTCTGAGCCAGAACTGCCCCCCTTCCCTGCCCTTCCTTTCAAAACACACACTGAACACAGATACCAAAACTAAAAGTCCACCACAACAGAAACGCATGTGAAAGCTACCGTTTTGCATTGTCTGTCAAAGAGAGAAACTGTAGCGAATTCATACCAAACCCCATTCAAAATCAGTTTAATATGACCTTGCTTCACATTGGAATAAGTCTATGAATCATGTGGATCATCTTGTACATTTGTGCTGTTCAGAGCAAACCAGAGCCTTTCTGTTCCAAAAGTGAGAAAACTACATTGAAATGAGTAAAAATTCAAATCACAAACAATTCCAGCACTGGAACATAATCATATGCCATTACCATATAAGAAATATTAAACATACAAAGATATGTATTTTAAATTTGACTGCATTGCACCCATAGAAAAAAGAACACACATTTTTTGGTTCCAATGTAAATGAAATTCATTTGTAAAATCGGTAAAATCAAAATAACAACAAATCTTCTATGATTACTAATCCATTGTTACGTTCTGAAAACCGTTGTGGTTGTTAACCATTCAATCCCATGATGCCTTGGGTGGAGTCTGTTCAGAGGCTGATCTCAAACGCATTGCGGAATTACATGAAACTGGCGTTGCTCTATTAAGATCTAGAGAGCCCAGAGGGTTAAAGCTGCAGTACGTAACTTTTATCAAAATAACTTTTGTCATATTTACTCAAACTTTCTCTATATCTGGCTCCTCCTACTGCTCCTAATGGCATTTATAAGAATCCACCGGGCCTGAACAAAAACAACCGGAGCCGGGAAAGATAGAAAGACACTTGGAGGCTTGAAGACAGTTTATTGTTGAGTCTCATTCCCAGCACCACTATTTGATAACCTAGGAATGGGACGCTACAATTAACTATCTTTCTCTCTGATTGGTTGACTGAAAACAACCAATCAGAGCCGAATACCATTAGGAGCAGCCAGAGGAACCTGATTTTGTTCACAGGATTATTAGTTATGAGTCACCCACTGCAGCTTTAAATAGTAATTGTCTGTCTTCATTATATAGATTAATGAATATTTAAATTCCATGCTTTCTATACAAAAGAGTGTACCCTTGCCTCAGTTGTAAACTCTTAATGAGCTTTGACCAAAAATATGAATAAAGAAATAACTCACAGTCCCTGAGGTAAGATATTTTTAATGCGTATTATTTTCCAGGTTAATAATTAATTTACTTACTCAATTCTTGTTCTTATTTTTGAGCATGTGACTTCATTCTTGACTTTTGGGAACACTTTAAGCTCAAAGGGTCCACCAACTAGCTTTCTGGAGCTTTCAGTCACATTTGAGGTCCTTCTTCTGCAATTCTTCTTTCCAACATCAAGGGCACCGCAGAACATTTGGATTTTAAGCAACATCTTGCTATGTCCCTCTGAATTAGCAGCTAATAGAAATGCATAGTCTCACTCCCTCATTATCTTCCATTTGAGTTTTCAGAATGATGCAACAAGCTCCAGTTTGGGGCACTGAGAGGTTACACTGGTACACAGTGTAGAAGAACATGACTCCAGTATACCTACCAAGGTCACTGGTGTCTGTATGTTCCACTTAACCAGCAAGGGCCTATTCTTTCTTAGAAAGCAGCCCTGACTCAGCTCTTTATCTCCTTTAGCTGGTTACAGTTTGTCAGTTACACACAAACCAGAAACGACCTGCAGCCTGGTGCTGTGAACTGATCAGCAGTGACACTGATAACATAAAAAAAAAAAAACACCAACACTGTCCTTTTGTTGCTTTATTCCAAGTAGACAAAGTGGATCAAACACATAAATATGAACACCGTGCCAAACAAGAGTGGAAGAGTGAAACCTGGCAACAGTATTATATGTATGTAAAATGCTTCTTTTGAAGCATACAGAATAATGTCCTTTATAAAAGTCAGAAAAAGGACCATTAAAGTGCATTCAGACGCCAGCTCCGATGAACATGTGAATATGTGGTCAGATATAGGTGAGGCTGGCTCCGACACCGGCCTGTCTCTGTGGACGGACACTCGACAGGCAGCCAGGGAATATTCCTGCTGAGCCAACTGGGCCTGTCAATCAACAGAACAACACAAGACACATCTACAGGGCGCTGATTCCCCCAGCTAAAGGCTATCACCTTTTACAGCCACACGGAGACAACTGATAGCTCGTGGGCTGTTCTATCACCAGTTTTTTGCCAAACTGTTTCCACTCCATTTGCTCCTTTGTATCCAACCAGAGAACCTCCCAGTTAATAATGCATTACATATATGACACTGCATGTTCACAAGTCAAAATGACTTTGTAAATGTACAGTTATTTTAATCCAATTAAACCTGCGACTACAACTGAAGAGAAGTTTGAAGAACAATAATAAATAATAACTAATCAACCAACAACATGAGCATGTTATGCTAATGTTAATTAGTGAGCAAACTACTGTTCGCTAAGGAATTTTAGCTCGCTAGTAGGGCCAGCAAATTAATGTTAGCTAACTAAGTACGTGTATAGTGGGCGTTCAAAATGTTTTAAAATCAACATAAAATTCGTTAGCTAGCAAGCTTGAGCTCTGGACTTAAATGCCATTTAAAATAACTCAGTCCAACAGTCCAGCAGTAACATTTGGTAGCTAGCAAGGCTGAACTTTACTATTTTGGAACGGCAATGTTTCTGTAGCACGGAGTATCTAAAACTGTCAACAAAACCTAATCTTTGATCACACAGTTTGTAATTTAAATAAGTTTGTTCATTTTATTTGGGCATTGTAGCTACTTCTGTTTAGATGTTGTTCAACTACTAGCAAGTGGACGTAACCAATGTTAGCTCATTAGTTAGCTCCCCAGGTAACAAGCAACAGATTGGTTGACTTAATCTAATGTTTACTTCTAGATAAATAATACAGCAAAACGGATACTGGGTTTTTGAAGCTAATAACATTATGGCTATTTAGAAATTAAAACTTCCAATAACATATCAGATGATAGTCACTTTTTAACATAAACATTTTAGCTTTTCTTTCGGATCGGATCTTTCGCATTTCTGTACTGAGACTGCTCGTTACTCAACAGCCGACAAACACATATCAAATTACAGTACTCGTGTGGTAAAGGTAATGCATTAATTACTGCAACAGAGGTCCTGATGGCATTCCCTGTGCTCCAAACACAGTGAGACTGCACTGTCTTCAGGTCTCTTCAGGATGTTGTCACTGTGCTCTTTATGTTGGTAAAGAGATCGCTCTGGAAAGAAGGCCTCGCCCTTTTTCTTTCAGACAGACTGACACCATATCTTAATGTTAGATTACATAGATGAAGTTTTCCTGCTCTCAGTGTGGCTGTGCTCAGAATATTGGGGCTCAACATCTGGCCACAGAAAGGTAGGTCCACTACCAAACAGCTAAATAATTGTTTCCATCATTAACAGCCATTTTGAACAGTGTTACCATGTTTTAGGGCCATCCTAGTGAATCATTACTCTTTATGTAAACTTCAAGACCAAACTCCTATTGTGCAACATGGATAGAAAATACTTACGGACATACGCAACTTTGATTAGTTTGCTCTATTACGGCTCTGTCTGCAATCTCAACACGAGCTTTGGTAGAATACAAATATAAAGACTGATTGTTTTTGAACAGATAAGCAGCACATATGTTAAATAACATAAAATAGACAAGTCAGAGCTCATTGTCCGCTTTAAAGAGTTCAGTGTAAACGTCATAGCTTGCCGCTGTATAGCATAATACTGCGCTTCCTTTACAATGACTTGTTGCTGCCAGGATTGTGGTCATCCAAAGTCCACAGGGCGAAAATCAATCGCACTGTCCTCTGTGGCAGCCAAACGCAGGCTGACCTGAACAAACAGTTCCACTGGAAAGATCAAACTCAGCCAATGAGACTTCAAAGGGCAGCCGAATGACTTTTCATGGTGGACCAGCAGATTGTACTCAGCTCACAGTAGTTCTTACGAAGCTTTAGATCCGGCTCACATTTTATAGTTCCCACTGTCGCTGCATCATCTTTTCTTCTTCTGCTGCCGCAGCATCTTTCTCCTCTTCATGATCATTGCGTGCAGCTTCTCGAGACCCTCCTGCAGTCCTTCACCGATGATAGCACAAGCGGGCTGAAGGTGCCAGGGTGTGGCGGTGCTGAGCTCGCGCAGAGCCAACATGCTCTCCATCTCAGCCAGGCTGAGCGAGTTCCTCAGGTCCTGTTTGTTAGCCACCACCAGAACTGGCACGCCCTGGTTCTCTGCCAGCCGCGTGATCTTGTGCAGCTCTGTCTTGGCCTCCTCGATGCGTTCGGCATCCACCGAGTCCACCACGAACACGATGCCGTCAGCGCAACGTGTGTAAGAGCGCCACAGAGGCCGCAGCTTCTCCTGACCACCTACATCCCAGAAGTGGAAGGACGCTGTCCGACGGCTACCTCCAAGTGACACTTTGATCTTCTCGGTGTTGAAGCCCTTAGTCGGGACAGTGTTCACAAACTCATTGAAGCGCAGGCGGTACAGTACAGTGGTCTTGCCTGCACAGTCCAGTCCTAGAATGACAATATGGAGAGCCTGGAAGGACGGCAGGCAGGGGAAGAGGGAGTGATGATCTGATAATCCGTTCCCCATCTTGGTAGAGCAGGACGAGTCGGGCACCAAATATTCACCAGGCTGCTTTCATTCCACAGGGACTGCAGCAGGAGCCTGGGGGGTGGGGGTGGGAGGATGGGGTCAAAACAGTATGCATAATGAGTCAAAGCACATAAACACCAAGCACTCTATTGCAGAAGCCCAAACACCCAACAAGTACTTATATCCCCCTCTCCCTTTGGACTACACATCCCCACATTATCCTGGCAGTGAGAGATGAATGAGAAATAAAACAGCAGGGTGGATAGCAGCCCATTTGCACATGTAGCGCCACAGCAGCCAACAGGGATTTCATACGCTAATTTCTATTCAGTGAGTGAATCGGTAAACAACAGGATGAAGGCTTTTGAATTCTACCGAAATCCCTGATTCAACCGATCCGGTATCCAGCGTTCAGTGACGGATCAGAGGAGAGCTATTTGATTTATTCAGAGCATGGAGATATAGCTTTAAAAAAAAGGTGTTGCTCGGCAACATAGACTGACTTCACTCTCGCTGAAAGGCGAATTTCAATTTTGAAAAACTGCAGAGTAATAAAGCCGTGCTCCTTAGCAAACACACACACATCGCAAAACATAATTCAACACTTGTGACAACACACAAATGTGTTCTGATAAATTCGGCATACATCTGGGCTTCATTTAAGCATTAAATTGCAAGAAAATCGCGACTTTTATCACTGATTTACAGCGACCGCTCCCGCCCTGCCCACTGCACATCAGTGGAGGGAGACTGAGCGCGCTGTAAACAGGTGCATTGTTAAAGTGGACATTTAATTAAAATTCAGAGCTACTTAGTGTGCTATAATTTACCCGAATTGAATAGCGACCACTACGAATTCAGGAAATGTCTCGTCTCAAACCAAAAACCTAGCTTTGTATTTCAGAGAGGCAGTCGCATTAATTTAAGATATTTTTAAATGGAGCCTGGTGTGCAGCTCGCTCTCGGACCTATGCTAGAGGCTCGACTGGAGGCTACGATGCCAACAAGTGTTGAAAAATTGTAAAAGTTAAAATGTCTTCATCTGGCCCAATGTGGCTGACATTACGTTACATTTCACGTTAATGAAACGGGACAACACAGAGGAACGGTTACCGGTATTAACGTTACTTTCATTGAGGGGAAATGAATTAACTTAAACGTTAGTTGCCTATAACGTTAAATATCATTTGACAGCAGCTATCACGGTGTGTTCTACACTAACAGGCAGCATTTATGGTACAGTCATAAGAAACCTACCTTCACAAACAGCGTTAGTCCATTACAAACTGACAGTATGTCCATATGAGCTGTGTTCCTGCTCTGTTCATGTCCTCAGACCCATAGAGACATCCAGCTGAAAGGACTCCCTATCTATTCCTCAGCGGCGCCAAGCAGGACGGAGTAAACAATACGATTTCCGCTAGCGTTTTTCAAAATAAAGCTCCAGCTCAGTATTAAGCACAATTAGTATCGAAATGATAAAAAAACACTAAGAATGAATTCATTAATAAAAAAAGGACTTGAAAAAAAAAAGATGATAACAAAACTTTAAACACACTTATTTCTTCATGAATTTTTATTGCAAATCCCCAATCTTATAAAGTTCACTGGGAGTTTTCCTTAAAGCTGCATAATAATGTTTGTCCTTGGCTCTGATTGGTTATTTTCGTCCAGTCCCGGTGGCTTTTTGGGAGCACAAGAACAACTCAGAGGAACCTGATTTTTTCATACATTATTGGCCTCATGCACTGCTGTTAGGCTAGAAAGTTTCAGCAAATAAAATATTTTTATAAAACAAATTTCCTACTGTGGTTTTAAATAATATATATATATATATTTTTCATATGAGACAAAAGATAATAACTCATTAAAGCACTCTGATACAGGAGGGAGATATCCATCATTCCAATAGAATCATCTTTACCATACACCTACTGACTGCTGACTTTTTGGCTACATTCGTACTGCAAACATTTGCACTCAATTTTAAATTTATAGCTCAGAACAGATTTTTTTTTTGTTTGGCTGTTCACATTATTTTATTGAATGTCAAATTCCAGTGTGAACAGGTCACAGTTATGAAGTGACCCGCATGATGAACGTCAGTCTAGAGTGACCTAAAAGTCGCAAGTCTGTGGGTAGATTTTCTACAATCTTTTTCCCTTAGTTCCAAAACATAAACAATTTACAATTGCTCTACACCTGGAAGAGACTTGAAAATACTTCTCATGTCATCAGGTATTCTATTTTAGGACTGTTCCTGAAATAATGATAATGTTATTTCTATAAAGTGCTTTACTAAAGAAATGACATGCAGTGTGTCACATGAAAAAAGGCATATAATGAATATAAAACCAGGGAGAGAATATCATAGATAGATGGAAAATAAAACCCACTTGATAATAATAGTAAAATAAAATAGAATATAGAAGATAAGATGGAAAATAAAACCCACTGAAAAGAATAAATAAAATATAGAAAAAAAGAGTAGAATATACCTACATAGAATGCATAATCAAGTAAAATACAGAGTGCAGGAAGTCATAAAGGCTAAAGTGAAGAGTTAAGGTTTTAGCTTTCCTAGAAAATATTTAGTGAGCTATGTGTTCACTATTAAGGATTCACTCCAGTTGTTAATTATAGTTTCATTTCATATATAATCTAATTAGTCCACATTTTCGTGTAGCTTCCAAACTTATTCAGCACTTTAATTGTGAAGGAGTAATGAGGACTCTTTCGGTCTCATTCTGCCTGACATTGGTTGGCTTGACGCAGCTCTATTTCCCGGTCTGATTGGTGGTGAACAACGCCTGCCGCGGACACGCGCACACATGAATGCGCACACGCTCACGCACGTCACCTGTTTCTGTCACTCAAACAGAGACTAGGAAAGAGTACTGGACTGAGCAAAGGCAACTAGACAGATGATTTCTTTCTGTATGTTAAAGGTCCAGTGTGTAACATTTAGGAGGATCTATTAAAGGAATGGAATATAATATTAATAGTTTTTTTTTATTAGTGTATAATCATCTGAAAATAGGAATCACTGTGTTTTCGTTACCTTAGAATGAGCAGTTTTTATCTACAGAGGGAGCAGGTCCTTTTCTGGTGGAGTTCGCCATGTTGAGCACTAAATCCTATAGTTCAACATTATGTCAAATTAACTTATTTGCTTTCTTTCAGAGAGTGAGATAAGAAGCTGGATATCAGTTTCATGTCTGTGTGTTAGGTAAAGAACTGGAATCAGGACGTGGTTAGCCTAATGCGATTAGTTAAAAGTTATTTTAACTAAAAAAAATTGTTGAAGCAGATTACATCAACATATTAAGTAACACAAAAGTTAAAAAGTTTCTTGATTAAGTAGCTTTTACTAGTAATTTGACACTTATGAAGTTTTGTAAGCTACAGAAACATTCCTGAGTAAGTACTTTTATTTTGTTTTCATAATATAAATAAAAATAACAAAATTAAGTCAGTGTCACTTAAAATTATTAAAGCTACTTACAAAATTACAACATTTAGTTAGTTTACAAGTAGAAGTGCTGGGTGGATGGATACACTGTATAGTTCCAGAATCTAACCCCCACTAACACTACAAATAGTTATTTTTACATTTCTGTGTATGAACAGAATTGAGGTACACCGTGTAAATTAATGAGCTTTAGAAGTGTTGCCCCTGCTACCAGTTTTTATGCTAAGCTACGATAGCCACGTCTTGCCTCCAGCTCCATACATGAGATTGATATCCATCCTCTCATCTCACCCTTTAGAAAACAAACAAATAAGTGCCACCAAAAAACACTGTGGTCAGAGTTGAAAACCTACTGCAAGGGTCAGATCAAACATGTTCTCACAGCAGTCTTTAACTGGCCAGTAAGGTTTACATTTATTCACAAATGTCTCAGGTGCTTCAGTCGGAAGAGGCTTAATGTGCCACCAATACAGGAAACAGCTTGTTCCCCGGAGAAGACTGTGAGACGCACTGCTTTAATCCCAGTGACATGAATAGAAAGTGACACAATACCCATTCTGCAATACAGAATGGGTATATCTCCCTGTATGAGAAATTCAACTCTGTAAATGTGTTGAAAGGATTGGTAGCTGGAGGAAAAAAACGAAAGTATAAGACGTGTGCAAATCACATAGAACTGAAAAGAAAAGATTCATGGCAGAAACACTGTATAATTAGTCCCCACAATGCCAGTGTCACTGTGTGATACTAAAGTTACACAAAGAACTTCTATAAAATCCAGACCAGACCTCTAATTGAGACCTGTTTTATTTGTCAAAATCATGTACATACCAGCTAGTAAAGGAGACCTGCCTCTATTTGGTACCCAGCGTTTTAAAAAGTTTCATCGTATACAATTTATTTATGAACATTGAAGCTGCTGACGTGTAGTTTTATAGAAATGGCTCTGATTGGTTGTTTTCGTTCAGGCCCGGTGGATTCTTACAAATACCATTAGTAGCACTAGGAGGAGCCACAGGAACATGATTGTTTCACAGATTATATGTCTCATGTTCTACTGTCAGGATACAGTTTCAGCAAATATGACAAAAAGTAATTTTTTATAAAATGTATCCACTGCAGCTTTAATATAGCAGCGAAGAACTATTTGTCATTCTCACTGTCAGTCTAACTGGGGTAACTGTTTATGCAGCAACATGTTCTTTATAGAAGTTATAACTGTTTACAAAAATACACAAATAAACTCTAGAAATTTCCATATATTTTCTTGCAACTACATTATAGTAAAGCATGCTTTTGAATGTTAAATAGTCAAAGAAAGAGGAGGACAGGAACACTGGCTAATATGGTGTAGTTGTACTTAATTTACGCTCAGTTGTTGTGAACATGCTTACTGTGCCATCAATGCATGAAATTGTTCTCCACACATTTCCTCCGTCTTCCTGAGAATATCAGCATCAATTTTTTATTATTTTTGGATACAAACAACAAGAGGTTTACAAGAACATTGCCAAAAGGAGCTACAATATATCTGACTAATCAAAGACCAGTGGTTCCCAAACTCAGGGGTGGATCTATATTCCACTTCAGTTTGCTGTCAAATTTAACACATTCATTTATGTGTTTTAAGTGTTGTATTTGGAATCAAGATTTGTAAATAAAACTATTATATATTGATTTATAATGCCACCTTTAAATATTTCTATTCAATGCTTTACTAATGTGCCCCAATAATGGTATGATCTTCATTTGAGGGATTTTCCAAGCAAATATTGGTATATGTGATCACTTACACAACACTTATGACATCCTCTGGACACCTTGTAAATATTTCTCTACATCCGCCCCTGCCCAAACTTTCTTTCCCCCATTCGAACACCAAACTTTGACAGTTTGGGAACCACTGTCAACATATGAATAGATACAGTATTTCAGATACAAAACAAACAGAAAAGCACAATTTTCAATTAAAAAATGTTCCAGGAAACACAATCAAGGTGATTAAATGTATATTTTTTTCCTGATATATATTTATATAAGCTAAATACGCATGGACTTCATGCTTCTTCAATCCCAGTGAGAGGGGTCCCAGGCC